AAATCTCAGGTTCCACTGGGCTCCCAAGCACCTGCCCACCAAGGAAGCAAGACAGCAACAGGTGAAAGGAACTAGCTAATCCAGCCCCCTCCTTGCCATCTTAACAGTTGAGAATGGGGGAGCTGAGTTCAGCAGTTGTATAAGTATTACCTGTTTTCTATAGAAGAAACAGGAAGGAGAGTTAGACAAAGAGATATGAAAATACAGATCACTAATTATGCCACTCATGGTTTTGCTTGCTGTACCACTCCATGCATGTATCCTGACCACAAGCATCATATACATGAAGGCGAAGGTACTCTCAAGTCCAAACCTGAACCACCCCACTGTTTCTGAAGCCCTGGAATGCTTTTTTGTTTTTAAAGAGTTTTATTTATTTATTTATTTGACAAGCAGTGACAGAGTAGGAGAAGACAGCTTCCATCTGCTGGTTCACCTCCCAGATGGCTGTAATGACCTGAGTGGACCAGACCAAAGCCAGGAGTTTAGAACTCCATCCAAGTCTCCCTCATAGATGGCAGAGACTTAAGCACTTGGACTATCTTCTGCTACTTTCCCAGGTGCATTAACCAGGAGATGGATTAGAAGCAGAGCAGCTGGGACTGGAACCCTGGCACCCCAATATGGAATGCCAGCATTGCAAGAGACACTTTATAACCCACTACACCACAACAGCAACCCCCTGAGTATGCTTCTTAAAGGTGAAGAAGTTCCAAACCAAGACCACACCACGTGTGGATATGTTGATTGACATCAATCAATGCGATGTGAGGCTTCTAGTCTGCTGAAATAGGCTGGCAGTAGGCAGATGAATGGAAGAAGCAGCAAACTCATGTACTTATGTGCACTGGGTCACCACAGGAAGGTGTAGATACCCCGCCTCGTTCATGCAGAAGCCTACGGGCCTTCTTCATAAAGGAGTGTAGAGTAGGGGAGGTAGGCAATTTTAGGGGAGAGTAAATTATTGGGGGGGGATGAATGGGTTCAAAGAACAGATATTGATCTGGGACAGAGTCCCCGTGGGCTTTGGGTGTGGCGTTTGACTTTCAGTCTCTCCCTCTGCCACGTGAGTTTAATGTTCCTGGCTCATGGCATTTCAGGAAGAAGACTGGAGGTGGTTGGATTCCTCTTTGGTGAATCCAGCCTTCAAGTGAGTAAAGCAACTTCAGGGTCAAGCGGCATCCACATCTGCCTATCCCCTAGGGCAGTTAATTTGAAATAAGCAGCATGCCCAGGCACCCTGTTTGGGGGTGACAGTCCCTGGGCCCCTTCAACTGCATGTGGAGATAACTTCTCAGGTTCAGTTTTATGGCTTGAACCCATTGCACTTCTCTTTCCATAGCTCCCATGATGAGGTTCCTAAAAGAGCCCTATTTCTCATGGGCATCTCTCTGTGTCAGCATATATAATTCTGTATCCTTTTCAGTGTTGTGCAGAGATCCAGTGTATGTAGGTACCACGATGTATTTAGCAAGTAATTCCCTTGAAAATTTATTTCAATTTTTTTGATTGTATAGTATTGTATTTTTTTTAAACTTTTATTTAATGTATATAATTTTCCAAAGTACGACTTATGGATTACAATGGCTTCCCCCCCATACCGTCCCTCCCACCCACAACCCTCCCCTTTCCCACTCCCTCTCCCCTTCCATTCACATCAAGATTCATTTTCGATTATCTTAATATACAGAAGATCAGCTTAGTATACATTAAGTATGGATTTCAACAGTTTGCTCCCACACAGAAACATAAAGTGAAAAATAATAGATGATTTTTTTTAAATGATGATGAAATCAGAGCAGACCTATTGTCATGTTTAATCCCAGTGAGAGTCAAGTGGGAATTGATAATTTCTTTTTTTTTTTTTTTTTACAGAAGATCAGTTTAGTATGCATTAAGTAAAGATTTCAACAGTTTGCACCCCCATAGAAACACAAAGTGAAATATATTGTTTGAGTACTCGTTATAGCATTAAATCTCAATGCACAGCACATTAAGGATAGAGATCCTACATGAGGAGTAAGTGCACAGTGACTCCTGTTGTTGACTTTACCAATTGACACTCCTGTCTATGGCATCAGTAATCTCCCTATGCTCCAGTCATGAGTTTCCAAGGCTATGGAAGCCCTCTGAGTTCTCCGACTCTTATCTTATTTAGACAAGGTCATAGTCAAAGTGGAGGTTCTCTCCTCCCTTCAGAGAAAGGTACCTCCTTCTTTGATGACCTGTTCTTTCCACTGGGATCTCACTCGCAGAGATCTTTTGCCAGAGTGTCTTGGCTTTCCATGCCTGAAATACTCTCATGAGCTCTTCAGCCAGCTCCGAATGCCTTTAGGGCTGATTCTGAGGCCAGAGTGCTATTTAGGACATCTGCCATTCTATGAGTCTGCTGAGTATCTCACTTCCCATGTTGGATCACTCTCCCCTTTATTTACTCCATCAGTTAGCGTTAGCAGGTACTAGACTTGTCTATGTGCTCCCTTTGACTCCCAGTCCCTCCACCATGACCAACTGTGAACTGAAACTGATCACCTGGAACAGTGAGATGGCATTGGTACATGCCACCTCGATGGGATTGAATTGGAATCCCCTGGTATGCTTCCAACTCCACCACTTGGGGCAAGTCAGCCTGAGCATGTCCCAAATTATACGTCTCTTCCCTCTCCCATTCCCACCACCATGTTCAACAGGGATCACATTTCAGTTAATTTTCAACACTTAAGAATAACTGTGCATCAATTACAGATCTAAACCAGTCATATTAAGTAGAACAGATAAAAAAAAACTACTAAGAGGGATAATGTATTAAGTTGTTCATTAACAGTCAGGGTATAGTATTGTATTTTTAAAAAATTTTTTTAGAGGCTGGCACTGTGGCATAGTAGATTCAGCTTCTGCCTGTGGGTTCCCTTATGGGTACCGGTTTGAGTCCTGGCTGCTCTACTTCAGATCCAGCTCTCTGCTACAGCCTGGGAGAGCAGTAGAAGATGGCCCAAGCACTTGGGCCCCTGCACCCACATGGGGGAGCTAGAAGAAGCTCCTGGCTGCTGGCTTCAGATGGGCCCAGCACTGGCTGTTGCAGCCATTGGGGGACTGAACCAGTGGGTAGAAGACCTCTTTCTCTGTCTCTCCCTCTCTGTAACTCTGCCTCTCAAATAAATAAATATTTTTAAAAGTTTTTAAAATTTATTTTTAATTTATTGAAAGACAGAGAGATCTTTAACCCACTGCTTCTCTCCCCATATGCCCACAGCAGACAGGGCTGGGCCAGACTCCATCCAGGTCTTCCATGTGGGCAGCAAGAACTGGAGTTCTGGAGCCATCACCTGCTGCCTCCCAGGGGGCTCATTAGCAGGAAGCTGGATTGGAAGTGGAGCAGCTGGAAGTCACACCAGTCATTCTGATAGGGCATGCAGAAGTCCCAAACATGTGCCTGCCACCACCCCTGTCCCTGCTGTGAATACGTCTACACTGGCTTCTTTAGATTCTCTTACTCCCTTAGGGTGAATTCTGAGAGGTATCATTGTTGGGCATAACATACTCACGAATTCTTAAGGCTTTAAATTTTTCTTTCAAAAGCTCATTGTCTTGTTTTTAGCAAAGGAAAGCTAGCTTTCCCTTGCCCGGGCTAGAGTTGGGCTCTTTTACCCCAAACCTCATTGCTTCTCAGCCAAATACCACAAAAAAGGCTAAGCGATGGACTTCAGAGGTGAGAGAGCTGTTGCCCTGAGTGGGATGGGCCAGGTAGGCGAGCTGGGTGCCTGGGGTTGGGGTGTGGGGGCAGGGACCCCCTGCAGGGTAGATGCAGCAACCAGGCTGCTGTGTGTGTGGTAACAGAAGGTTGACCCCACCGTTGTTATCCTGCATACAGGGAGGTACCCTAGGCTGCCCCGGTTCTCAGCGCCTCCAGGTCCCTGCCAGGGTCCCCCAGCTGAGTTGTGCCTCAGCTCCTTTGCTCTTACTCCAGCCTAAAGCCTCACTCTGCAGTGTCGCGGGTTCTAGCAAATACACATTCCATAGGCATCAAATGCTTGAAGATTCCTCGGAAGAAAATCCAACTGGGCCTGCTCCCAGTTTGACTGCTGTCACTGTCCCAGGCCACTGTCATTCTCGATCAGCTCCCTGCCCCTGCTGCTTGCTCACTCAAAACCTCATTTAAATCTTTCATACTCCTGGGCCCTCCCATTTCTGTCCAGAGCAGATCCCCCTTCCCTCTGCCATGCCCTAAGTGCTCTTTCCAGCTCCTTACCCCGCCAGCATTGCCTAGTTCCTTGCAAGCTACCCCCGACTCAGCATGCTATGAGCAAGGAAGTCTCATGGAAAACTGTCCCCTCACTGGCCTCCTCTTGGAATCTCTCTCCCACTGCCTTTCTGTCTGTTGAAATTCTGTCCATCTTTCCAGACACACCCCAGGTGCTATCTTCTACCAAAGTCGTTCCCAAAACCCCAGAGGGTATTTTCACAGTGCATTCTCCCATATAGTGTAGGTGAGGGGCACATAATGGTAAGGTCTTTGAAGGCAAGGGCTGCCCCCAGGCCTCTTCTCTCCTGGGTGGGGAGAATCCCTGTGCCTTGGGCTGAGTTGCTGTGACATGGGTGCTACTTCCTGGAATGAATGAGCAAAAAATGAGCTGATGGAGAAGGAAATGAGCAGAACCCAGAGGAGCAAAGTCCACGCCGTGGGAGTCTGGGGGGACTGATGTTTCCCTTTGGGAAGGATTTAGGACAGCATTCTGATGGAAGAGGGACTTAGGGCACTGTATAAAAGAGGTGTCAACACGTGTCTAGGACTAAAAGAATGGAGGCAGATGCAGCAGAGATCCAGGGAGGAACTTAGCCCTCATTCCCTCTTGGCAGTCCCCACAGGTGCCTGTTACCTTCTGCTGAATTTCATATTCCCCATGGTTCTGTGTTGTGGGGTGTTCTGCGTTGGTCAAGTTAGACCTCCCCGCTTTGAGTAGGAAGAGTGTTAATACATGTACCACGTCTGTCTCTTGCAGGCAACCATGGTCCTGAGCTCTGCACACTTCTGGCTGGGATTGTTTCTGGTCCCCACTGCCTGTTTGATGGAAGACGTGGCGTGGAGAGCGTAAGTGGAAGAACGGAAGCGGCAGCCCCCGGTCTTGCTCCTCTGTCCTTGCCGTTGTCTTTCACATGAGCCCTACTGCAGAGAACTGAGGGCTGTGAGCCTTTGGGAGGAGCAGGTGTCCTGCCACCTGCCACTGAGAGACTTCTGTCATTCTATTTTTATTTATTTATTTTTGAAAGGTTCATTTTATTTATTTGTAAGACAGAGTGACCAAAGGAGAAAGAGAGACAGTAATGGAGAGAGATACCTTCCATCTGCTGGTTCACTCCTCACATGGCCACCATGGCCAGGGCAGGGCCAGGCTGAAGCCAGGAGCCAGGAACTCCCTCCTGGTCTTCCATGTGGGTGGCTGGAGCAGAAGTACTTGGGTCATCTTCTGCCTTCCCAGGCGTCTTAGCAGGGAGTTAGATCAGAAGTGAAGCAGCTGAAACTCAAAATGCTGGTGTCACAGGTGCCTGCTTTACCTACTACACCACAACGTGGTTCCTTATTTTATTTTAAATTTGTGCTTCATCTTAATACAAAAATGTACACAACACGGAGCTCTGAGAGCCAGCATGTGGCAGTCGCTAGGGAGGTTGCCTTGAGCACATTGAATTAGGGAGGAGTGCCTACAAACTCATTTCTCCTCAGTATCTGAAACCCAGTGCTGCACGGCACAGCCTGGCACTCAGCTCCACTCATCTAGGAAAATTGTGTATCTCTAGGTCATCCCAGAGGACAAGAAGAAAGTAGTCTTCCTTTTTTCAATTGGAATCCTTCCAAGAAAATTCTTAGACAGTTAGTTTATAACACTATAAGAAAATCAACCACAAAGGTGGAATCTTAAGTTTAATAGGAAATACTACATACAATGTAATAAGGCATCACATAGTACCCCATAAATATGTACAATGCTTATGTGTGTCAAGTCTTTTTTAATTAATTAATTAATTTGAAAGTCATAGTTTCAGAGAGAGAGAGGGAGAGACAGAGAGAAAGAGAGATCTTCCATCCACTGGTTCACTCCCCAGATGGCCACAATGACCAGGGTTAGGTCAAGCCGAAGCCAGGAGTCAAGAGCTCCTTCCAGGTTTTACACGTGGGTGCAGGAACCCAAGTACCCCAGCCATCGTCTGCTGCTTTCCCAGGCCTTTAGCAGGGAGCTGGATTGGAGTGGGGCAGCTGGGATACAAACCGGGCTCCTATGGGATGCTGGCATCACAGGCGGCAGCCTAACCCGTTATGCCACAATTTCAGGCCCCGATTTCTTGTTAAAAAAATAAATAAGAATAAATTATAAAAGGAAAAATAGGAAATAATTCCTAATTGATTTTTCTTCTGTATTTTAAACTGTGTTTCCAAAATGTCTTGCAAAAACAGCATCAAAGAAACAATGAAGGTCCGAAATAAGTGAACTCTAATTTCATCCCTACGCAAAGGAATGGGTGCTCCAAATGAGATAATATTGGGTTTTGTTTTGGGTGAGCCTGGTTCCTCCCACCAACAGTTGCCATCTTCCCTGCAAATTGAGACTCTTCGCTCAGCATTATGCTTGGCATTAATTATCTCAGGGCCCTGAGGTAGAAAATGGAGACTTTAATCCAAACCTTCCAGGAAAAGACATCACTTTGCATTTTTATCTCTCCATTCCTCCCACACTCCCTGAGAATTATTCTTGCCTGACAGTTAAGGGTGGCTTTTGAAAAAGTCTCCACTTCGGCATTATCTTGACAACCAACAATACTTAGTGCAGGGGGAAGGGAGAATTTTATAGCACATATTAGTGCTCCTTCTGTTCACTGAGTTTTTCAACTGTTAGCAAAAATTAATTCTGACTTTTTAATTGCTTTGATTTATCACTGAGTCAATTGTGTTTGCTAAAAACTGTTCTGTAAATGACAGAATCAGAACATTCAGACAGGAAAAGATGACAGCTAAAAAAGATATTTTCTTAATCTAATTAGATGTACTATGAGAAAACATTAGTTCTGTTATTTGTTCTTTTAAAGGCCAGTAGTCTTTCTCAGAATTTGTTCAGTTTTGCAAAGGTAAGTTTGGTTGAAGAAAAGAGAGCATGGCCATGGCTGTATCAAATGACTTTTTCAATTTATAGTGATGGAGAAGTAGTTATGCATTTCTACATTAGTCTCAGACTGCTTTAATTCAGCTCTCTTCGTGTCATGAAAAGCAATTTATGGACACTAGTTGCCAAGTTTCAGCAAAAGCCTCTTCCATTTCACAGAGACATTACAAACCCTCAGCGGTGCCTTGTCTGTTTTCTGACTCATTCCCAGCGTGTCCCACGTACAAGTGCACGGTGACCGGGAAGCAAGTAATCCAGCCCCTGCAACAGGCCTTGGTTGGTCGTGTTTGTAGGCCCTCACGTTGTAAAATCAGCACCACTGCCATGTGAACAAGGATCCAGCAAATGAGCCTGCTTCCACAGGCAAAGAGTAAAAAGTCAGCTGCTTTCTGAGGAGCTTGCGGGCGTTGGAGTAGGGATCCCGCCTAGAGGGGGCCGCTCACGGCCGCCGTGTGCTGTTCTGCCACAGCTGTTGTAGCCGGCTGCCTAGTGCTGGGCCCCACCCGCCCAAGCACAGCTTTGCCCGGGATCACCAGTGGCTCAGCTCAGGACCGGGGAGGCAAGGCCACTCCTGAATTCCATAGATGCTTCCCAAAATGCATTTTTGTTTTGTTTCATTTCGGTGAGTAGAGAGGATAGCCTGTGGGGGTTGTCATTGCCCCAAGAGTATGTTCAGTTTGTATCATGCGTTTAAAGGTATCATCTGTAGTCACCTCCATTTTCAAAGACATGGATTTTGTGAGTTTTTTTGGGCATTTTCCCTCTGATTATTATATCTCATATTATACTCCAAGACTGAAATGTTTGTTGTCAAGGCAAGGTCAGTTAGGAGACTTTTCGCGACAAAAAGCGTACTAGAGCACTTCAGAACGTTTATGGAGGCGAACGTTTGGCAATTAAAATGCCTGCATCACACAGTAGAGTGCCTGGGTTTAAATCCTGGCTACAGTTCCTGACCCAGCTTCCCACCAGTGCTCACTCCATTGGGTTCCTTCCTGTCACGTCAGAAACCTGGATTGAGATCCAAGCTGCTGGCTCTGGACCCAGCCCAGCCCCAGCTATTGTGGGCATTTAGGAAATGAACCAGCAGATGGGCATCCGATGCCTCTCTCTTTCTCCCCGCCTCCTTTCTCAAATAAATAAATATTCATGAAAAATGAATTTGAAAGGTAACTTTACACTGTCGCAAAAACTTTTGTTTTCATAATCCATGTTTTCTGTGAACCTTTAAAAGATCCCTTATATGTATAAATTTCAGAGTTTTTGCATCAAAATAAAATTATCCTGTCATTCCATTTCCATGAACTTTTAAAAAATCAGGTTTTCTAAATTTATTTGAAAGGCAGAGCAACAGAGACAGACAGACAGATCTCTCATCCACTGGTTCACTCCCCAGATGCCTACAACGGCCAGGGCTGGGCCAGGCTGAAGCCAGGAGCCCAGAACTCAATCTGGGTCTCCCACATGAATGAAGGGCCCACGCACTTGAGCCATCCTCTGATGCCTTCCACATGCCTCAGCGGGCAGCTGGATTAGAAGCAGAGTAGCTAGGACTTTACCTGGCATTCCCGTCTGGGTTGTGGGTTATTCCCGTCTGGTGTGTCCCACACCAGAGCTTTGCCTGCTGCACCTCAGTGCCCACCTCTGCATGAACTTTTAGAAGCACCCCCCTGCTGTCAGATGCTCACCTCTGATGAGACTCCAGGACTTAGCTGGGATTCCTGTCTCTGAACTGCAGCTTTAGAAAACATGCTCTGTTCTTTGTCTTCCCCCACTGAGCAAACACCTCAATCCTGGTTCCCCACAGCCACCCCTCTTCTGATTTCAGTTGGAAGATATTTGTGGGGACCTGAAATGCTAGGGTATACCCTGAGCTGCCAAGAAGAATTTTAAGTGAGCAGCTAGGAGTTGAGGTGCACCTGCCCGCCTTGTTGTGCACGGGCAGCATCTGGCAGTGAGAGGAACCTTCTGTGTGCTGGGTTCCTGACTCTTGCCTCGGGCCAGTCTTAAGGGCTTGATTTGGTTTGGTTTGGTTTTCCCTTTGGGTGCTTAGCTTTTGAAAGAGCCTTTAAATTATAGCACTAGGCAGGCTTGCCTTTTCAAATGTATTCCTACAAAATGAGTAGCTCTGTCTTCCTGTGGTTTCCCTCTTGCTTTGCCTGGTCTCTCATTTCCATTTCAGAACTTGGGCTGTTAAGAATCCGAAGAGAATGAGGTAATGCAGTCAGTCTTTCCATGAAGTCTGTCAACCTTAGGGATGAAGATCCTTTATTAGGCTTCCCTAAGTCGGATTTGGAACGCCTTAGCGTGCCTGCGTGACTACTCTGTTCACCAGAGTTTTCATGAGGCACCAAACTAACCTATCTTTTATTAAAACAATTGATTGATTATATGTGATACCTGGCTAATGAATATTTTTATTAGAAGCATGAAGTTTAAATTGCCCAGAACTGTTTTAATATCCTTCAGCTTACTCTGGTCCAAAATGTTTACCTACGACAGCATGCTTAGGTAAGCTATCACATACGGATTCTCATCTAGGAGAAACTGGTTAGTGTCATCTTATAACAATAATGCGAAGCTCAAGGCCACTGAGCACAGAGAAATGAGTTTCCTTTTATCTATCTGCATCTCCTGTCTTTTACCAGGCATCACACACTACATTCCCCAGTTCCAGAATGACTTCATTTCCTTATTCTAATCCCAGATAGGCAGTTAAATGGAAATACAAGGTAATAAGCAATTTCTGTATCCAAGTGGCCTTGATTTTTTTATTAACCTTCTAACTGTGCTCTCTTCTTTTGGAGCTCTTTGTATTTGCATTTTGATCCGCATTTAAAAATGGACATTTCCTTTCGACTCACTGTCTTTTCCGGAGAAAAGAAAAAGTCCAGGGGAAAAATTGTAGGAACAAAAGATGTCAATGTCAACATCCAAAGCCAATCTGTTTCTTTTGAAAATCTCTGAGAGCCTGTAGATCCAGCCTTGTTTAAATCTGAAAGCTCACAGACCAGTCTCACAGCTGCCACCTATCAGTAGCCAGACACCCCCACTCTGTGCCTTCTGCAGGCCTCCGGTCTCCTGATGTGCGGTGTGGTGAAGCCAGCCCTGCATCTGTGGGCATGAGCACGGTACAGACAGGTGGGTTCACTCTGTCAAAGCCGTGACTGAGAACACGCCAAGCCCCAGCTCATGGTGAGACCTGAATATACGCCAGTGGCTGGTGCTTAATGGCTAAGTTGTTAACCTTGAAGTGCCGAGTTTTAGTCCGTCACATGTAGACTTTGACAGGGAGACTTAAGAATCGGTTTTCTAACTCAGGCCTTATTTGGAAAGGTGCTGGAAGAAATAGTTTTAAATCACTGGCATTGCTTCTACTCCTGAGCCACCTGCAGAAAGTGTGGCCAAGGGGCTGAGGTTTGGTGCAGAAGCTGAACCACTGCCTGGTGCTCCAGCCTCGCATATTGGGTTCAAGCCCTGGCTCCACTCCCAATTCCAGCTTCCTACTAAAGTGCACCCTGGGAGGCAGCAGGTGACTATTGAAGGAGTTGAGACCCTGCCACCGCTATGGAAAATCCAGATGGAGTTCCTGGATCCTGGCTTAAGCTTGGCCCAGCCCTGGCTCTTACAGGCATTCGAGAAGTGAAGCAGCCAGGAGATACTCTCATTCTATCTCTCTCTCTCTCATTCTCTCTCTCCCTCCTCCCTCACCCTCTGTCTGCCCCCCTCTCTCTGTCTCTCTGCCTTTCATGTAAATAAATATTATTTTAAGAAGAGAGGAGCCAAATCCTCCGCCATGTTGCATTTTGGGATCCTCATGGGGCACTGAGTTCCCCAGGAAACACCATCAAGTTGCCTGGAGCTCCTGGATGTGGATGGGCTGCATCCACTGAGGACACGCACAGTGCCAGGGGCCTGGAGCTGCTCCGACCGCTGTCCTGAGGCCTGTTGTGAAAGAGAAGAACTGGAAGCTCCAGCGTGGTGGGTCAGACCCTTTGGTTTCCCGACCTAAGCCGTAGATTTGGAGCACCTGTGCCTGCCCGCCAGCCCAGGCTTCTTGCTTCCAGCCTCCTTCTCCCTGACCCTCCCTTTTCTCCAGCCCAAAAGATAGCAGTAGGGCTGTTGTAGACCATGTGTGTGTGTGTTGGGGGGATGGGAAGTTATGAGAGTCCTGAGAGAGTGAGAGGACTAGACAGATGCATTCTCCTGCATACTCTTGTATACACCTGTGCTGTATACACGGTGACTGTAAGCAGATGGGGTAGACCATGCAGTCAGCGTCTTCCCAGTATAGCCCCAAAAGCTTATGAGATAAAGGTCAAGTTTAGGGCCAGCCATGGACAGCAGTGTGGAGCCGTATGCTACCTTCTTTCCAGCAGAACGTTGGACATTCTCTCATTTATTGTCTAAATTAAGATTGCACAGTTTTGGGCTGGCGCCGCGGCTCACTAGGCTAATCCTCTGCCTTGCAGCGCCGGCACACCGGGTTCTAGTCCCAGTCAGGGCGCCGGATTCTGTCCCTGTTGCCCCTCTTCCAGTCCAGCTCTCTGCTGTGGCCCCGGAAGGCAGTGGAGGATGGCCCAAGTGCTTGGGCCCTGAACCCGCACGGGAGGCCAGGAGAAGCACCTGGCTCTTGGCTTCTGATCAGCGCGGTGCGCCAGCCGCAGAGCGCCGGCCGCAGCGGCCATTGGAGGGTGAACCAACAGTAAAAGGAAGACCTTTCTCTCCATCTCTCTCTCTCTCTCTCACTGTCCACTCTGCCTGTCAAAAATAAAAAAAAAAAAAAAAAAAAAAAGATTGCACAGTTTCTGCTTTGAACTGCAGTATTTATCAATACTGGGTCTCAGGACCGTGTTTGAAGCAAGGAAGATACTGTGTGTTAAAGTCAGTGTGGTTTTCTCCTGTTTACTTTGTGGAAAGGAATGAGAGCCACGTAGACAGCGTCTCAGGGCTGGTACTCCAGGACAGGTTAAGTTGGAGTGTCAGGGGAGTGGGCATGGCCAACAGGCTTCCTTCCTTGAAGGTGGAGGGTGGGCGGGAGCACGTGCCTCTGCTGAGCTGGCCCCATCAGCAGAGGAGTCCCAGGACACTGTTTTCACTTCCATGCAAACGTGCTCAATTTTGCTCTTTTTGTGTTTAACAGTGTTTATTTTTTGAAATGTATTTGAGAGGCAGAGAGAAACAGAGATCTTCCATCTGCCAGTTCACTCCCCAGATGCCCTCCACTGCGGGGACTGGTCCAGGCCCAAGCCATAATCTGGAAGTAAATCCAGGTCCTTTGCGTGCATGTAGGGACCCAAGCACTGTGAGCCATCGCCTGCTGCCTCCCAGGGTATGCATTAGCAGGAAGCTGGAACTGGAAGCATAGCCAGGCCTGGAACTCAAGCACCTCAGTATGGGTTGCAGGCATTCTGAGCAGGATCTGAGCTTCTGCGCCAAACACGTGACTGGATCCTGGCAGGATCCCGAGACATATTTATACTGAAATGAAACTGAATCAGTGCTTTTCAAAATAAGGAAACCTGCTGTGTGTGGCTAATGTTTGAGCCTTTTCTTTTTACATTTTCCCATTTCCCTTATCTAACCTGTATCTGTTAAACACTTTTTCCTCATCTAGATTGTTTCCAACCAGTAGCTCGATTTTAGCTTTGTTTATTCTCAAATTTTTTTAAAGATTTATTTATTTACTTGAAAGGCAGAGTTACAGAGAGGCAGAGGAAGAGAGAGAGAGATGTCTTCCATCTGCTGGTTCACTCCCCAGATGGCCTCAACAGCCAGAGCTGGGCCCATCCAAAGCCAGAAGCCAGGAGCTTTTTCTGGGTCTCCCACCTGGGTGTAGGGGCCTAAACACTTGGGCCATCTTCTGTTTTTCCAGGCCATAGTAGAGAGCTGGATTTGAAGTGGAGCAGCTGGGACTCGAACCAGTGCCCATATGGGATGCTGGCACTGCAAGCATTGCTTTTACCTGCTATGCCACAGTACCAGCCTCTATCTCAATTTTTAAAAAAATTTTTTAAATGCAGAGATACAAAAGTGACTTAATGAGGAAATAGAAGGTAGTATAATTTTTAAAAATATCATTGAGTCAAATGCTACTTTTTTTTTTACTACTTTGAGGCGATATCTTTAAAAAATTTTTTCTGGTTTCAGGGTACTTTCTGTTTTCTTTCTACCTGACATATAACTGCATGAGGTGCATTGTGATGATTCCATGCGTGCTTTCTTGTACAATATGTAATTTTTCAGTTTCAATTTTAGGAAGGCCCTGAGGTCAGCCAGTTATGTTAACATGGGGAGGTGTTCTTAGTTGAAGTGAAAAAGATTTCAGGTAACTCTCCTATACTTAGACAAGTGACACAGGCAAGCTGAGGTTCAAACTGGGCTTAAAAAAAAAAAAAAAAGCTAACTTGCTCTTGCTAGTTCATATCTGTATTATGCCACCGAGGCCCACATCCTTGGGCCTTTGTGATAAGTCCTCACCAGAGAAGGATAGAAGAGCTGTGCTTGAATATTTTCTTGACTCCAAAAGTCAGGTCAAGGGCGTGGCATCCAGAACTTGAACCTCCAACATCACACACTCCATCCCTGCCATGGGGGTGGCTCTTTTCGCACTAAAGAGCAGGGGAGGAGACAGCTGGCTCCCGGGCTCATGGGCTTCAGTCATTCCTGTGGTTACTGGGTGTTCAGGAACCCCACTCAGCCTTTGCACACCTCTTGGGGAGACCCCCGCAGTCCACAGTCTGGGCCTGGTCTGCAGCACCTGGCATGTTTCTGAGCCATTAGGATGGAGCTGGTGTGATGCAGGGAGACTGCCAGTGCTCCACGATGCGTCCCAGGCCTTGACCTCAGCCTTGTGTGACCTGAGAGAGGAGCAAGTAGTCCTCACAGCTGTGTCGAGTTCATGTGCCATGTTCTGTTTGTCCTTTCCTCCTAACACAGGGCCAAGCACACCTGCAAAAAGACGTTGCTGGAGGAAGTACAGGAGCTGGAAACCAAGGCCAGGAGGATGGGAAAAGAGATGCTGCAGGACAGCAGTGGAAAGAGGTGAGCAGCTGCGTGGGGGTTCAGGAGCGTGGGTCTCCCGGCCCCTCCTGCCCCGTTCTCTTTTCAGTGAGAGCACCGCTGCTCCAGTCTAAGCATTTGGGCTGTTCTCTAAGAATGCCATCAGAGTGGGATTTAAATGGCCCCGTGAAATCTCACTTTCTGGGTCCTTTGGGCCTGTCCTTAGGTCTAAGTCTGGGGTTGTTATTGGGTCTGCATGCGGACAGGACAACCAGGTACTAAAAATTGGCATGCACGCTGCAGCCTTGTTATCTGAAAGTGGAAGATTTAGCAGTGTTAGCAGGAAGGGTGTGGAAGCCGGGCCTTGGAATTTCAGGCCCAATGACCGTACCCAAGGATGAGTGTCTACAGAGAAGGTTTGCATGCCGAATAACACATGTGGAGAGTTATTCCTGTAAATCCTGTTACAGCCCACTCCGGTATACCTGGAACAGGGGTGTTTATAGCGAATCATGGTTTTCTACTGGGATTGAGAAACAACACATGAGTTCTTGGCACAAATGAGACTGCTGGCTGGCATTTCCCACAGAGGGCCAGCCGGCTGATCCCCATGCTGAGGGCATAGGAGTCACGTTTGCTTTATCAGGTGTGTTAAAAGCTCACTGGAGTGTCTTTGGTTAACATCCATGCACAGGTGGAATATTCCATATCTGTGACCCTTGAGACCCAAAATATTTTGAATTTCAGATTTTTGTGAATTTAGGATCATTTGCATACACATGGGTATCTTGGGCATGGGAGCCAGGTTTCAACTTGAAACTCATTTATTTTTCATGCACCCTTTCTACAGAAGGTAGTTTTACAGGATGTTTTAATAATTCTGTGCATGAAACAAGGTTTTTGTGGTAGAGAATTTTTCCCTCATGGTGTCGGTGCTTGAAAAGCTTTGGGACTTAGAGAATTTCACGATTTTGAGTGCCCAGATTAGGGATGTGCGGCCTGTGCTAGCAAAGGAAATTTCCCCGGGTCCAGGACAGTTTACAGAATAATAGGAAGCCCTGGCTGTGTTAGGACTGTGGGATTTCCAGCCTATGCAAAGGCCCAAGTCGGGGGCCTGCAGGCAGCAGACCCTGCGGTCTGGAGGACCACATGGGTTCCCTGGAGATCTGGAGCCTGCATTGGAATTATGGCTGAACCACTTATCTGCGTGACCTTGGGGAAGATAATCCTGTGTGAGAATGCCTCTTCATCTGTTTTAGAGGAAAGGTAATACGCTGGGGCAGGGTTAGGGCTTATGAAGTAATGTGTGCACCACAGTACAGGGCCGAAGCCCTTGTGCGAATGCAGTGTCAGCTGCTGGTCTCCAGTGTGGCCACAATTCGTGGCAGGGAAGGGAGTCATGGGCTGTGACCTTGAAAAGCTCCTATATTTGCTTGCTGATAAAAAACACATGATTTACAAAACCTACTTATCCTGTTCGCAGTTCACTTTTCTTTTTAAGTGTTCAAGTGGGTATCAGAAGTTAGAGTTTAAATGTGGCTCTCTACATTTAAAAATATCTGTAGGTCTGCAACTTTCCCCACTTTGTAGTCGATACCACTGTGTGTGTAGGCATGCATGTGTGTTCATGTATTTACACGTGCGTGCAGGTGTTTCTGTGTGTGCACTCATTAGGTGTGTGTGTCTCTGAGTACATGTGCCGGTGCGGTGCGTGCTCATGTGCACACAGGAGTGTGTTTGCATTGGCGTGCACACATGTGTGTGTGTGTATGCACGCACGTGCTCTCTCACTTGGTAATTCCGTTCTCTCCTCATCCCCACCGGGTGCTGCAGTGCTGTGGGAAGACTGGGGGGGCTCCAGGACACCCTGCCCCCCATTTGTTTTTCTCTGTGCTAATTGCTCGGGCTTCCCTGGTGGTCCATCTGCAACCTAGATAATGGAGGCCTGCTGCTCTCTGCAGGGGCGGTTTGTCCTGCCTGGCCTCCCCAGAGCTGCCTCACAATTGTCCATTATCACCTTTGTGTGCTGCTTTCACACCTGCCTGGATGCCCGTGCACCCCTGGAACCTGGGCCAGAGGCTTCCTCTGCTCCCTCTTCCTTCCCAAGGGGGTTTTGCAGCCATGAGATCCTGAATGTTTTTGTCTCTTCTTGCACTTCCCGGCCCCCCACCCCCTCCGTATCCCGGTCCCCCTGTATCTGTTAGGCAGGCGCCCAGTGGAAGCACTGTCACTGCTTGTTGACTCATTGGCTAGGAATGCGGAAGTCCAGGCTGTGAGGAAAGCTAAGGGGAGCTGACACCTGGTCGCTGGTGCTCACAGGTAGTGGCCATAGAGATGCTGGCATCTCCTCTTTATCTCCTGGCTTAGTATTCGAGCTAACACCAGATCACAGGTAGGGTGGCGTTTAGGAGGTCAGCGCCATCCTCCCCCCTGACCCCACCCCGTAGCTGTCCCTCAGCACGCTAACCCCAGGTGAGTGACTCAGCTTGGTTCTGCGAGCATTCCTCAGGGCCCCTTCAGGGACGTTCTGCCAAGTCATAAAGTCCAGATCCAAGTCGCTGGCAAACATTCTAGCAGTTTTACTTAGGAATGTGCTTGTAGGAAATTGAGCAAAAATCATCATGCATTAATCGTAAAAAAAAAAAAAAGCCCTCTTGTGCCAAATTTACAATTACAATTTTGGAATGGTAACTAGGGATTTAAAGGTTCCTGCTATGCCTTTTCTGCATTTGATAAAGTAACTTGGCATTTTATGGCACTTGTCTGAGCCCCACACTTTTACACACTTTTTCAGTAACCGTTAAATTCTCATTATGGTGTTTCTGCACTTTCTCACTAGTAAATCCGGCCTTCCTAAATTACCTGTGGCGTTTATGCATAAACAAGTCTGTTCTCAGATAAGACAAGGAAGGGTGAGATGAGACTTACAGATCTGGGAAGTGTAGTGAAGTCAGAAGGTGCTTCAGGTAGCAAATAAAAATGTTTGTCTTGATTTTAATTTGCCCATCTTGAAGAGCGTCTTTTTTTTTTTTTTTTTTGCAGTATTTGTGTGCCTTGCAGACCTGAGACTTGTTAATACTGGGGTTGGTCCAAGTCCCTTTCTGCCAGCTGTCTCCCCTGGAAATCCTTTCTAAGCACAGTGAGGGATGTGCTGCAGTGTGCAGAATGGTCTACCCTGTGCATTGCTGCATTTCCAGAACGTCTGCAAGACGAGGAGCTGAACAGAACTGCTTTGATCAGTGTTTGGGGGATAGCTTTTCCCTCTTTATTCCAAAAATATAACTCATGACATTTTTTTTTCTGGTGGAAAAAAAAATCTACCCATGGCCACTTACAGAGATACACAAATGCCTCAATCATCATATCAGTGACAAACTTTGTTCCCGTCATTGTTTTTTTCTCTGTGTGTGTAGAAGAGGCTTTTCTGGCATGTTCTAGGTATTATGGCAAGCAGGATAAAAAGATGAATATATTTAGTGCCAGCATCTAGTGTTCAGATTATTCTTAGGAGACCCTTGTTTAATCCAGATTAGCTGTCTGCTTGTCACAGGTGATAAGTTTGGGTGGGATGATTAGGGGCTGAGTTCCTCCAGTTTCAAAGTCAAGCAGTGGTGGTAGCTGCCCCAGTGGATTCTCTTTCCCTTAAGTGCTTTGGGCCTGGGGAGGGGGCAGCTGTGTCACGGGCCTGGAGTCTCTTGGTTGTGTGTGGCAGTATGGCTACACTGAGGCTGATGAGCACTGGGGATCCAGGCAGCCCAGCGGCCACAGGAGGGGAACCCAGTTCCCTCCCTGGTGGGCCAAGCCTCAGCCAGTGCTGCCCCAAGCTTGCATTGCATCAAGACCGGCTGCAGACAGGCAGGGCCCTGGTCCCTGCTGCAGACGGTGGCTGGCTGGGAATCTCACGGGAGATTTCTGTTGACAAACAGGAGACAGAGCCAGACAAGCCAGCTTCTTCCTCCACTCCAGACAGCACCCACCAAACTGCTTAAAAAAAAGTTAAATTCATGGAAAATGAAATTAAAATTGTTTATTTTGTTCCAAAAATTTAGAAATCCATGCATAGTGTTTTCATGATATGCACTTCCCATGAACTTCCTATGCACAGATTTCAAAACAATGTGTCGGGCAAAAAAAAAGTTTAAACCTCCCAGAACCTTTTGAAAGCCCCCCCCCAACTTTTGGACACCACCCGGCCCCTTTATTTTTTTTCCGGGTTTAAAAATTTCCTTTAAAACCCAAGGTGGGGGGGGGGGGGGGGGGGGGGGGAGGGAGAGATTTTCTATCTGCTGATTTACTCCCAAATGTCTGCAACAGCCAGCCCAGGCCAGGCCAAAGCCAGGAACTCCATCCGGGGTTCCCACATGGGTGGCAGGGGTGCAAGTACTTGGTCCGTTTTCTGCTGCCTCCCAGGCACATTAACCAAAAGCTGGATTAGAAGCACAGTGTAGCCAGACCTCAAACCTGGCACTTCACAATGGGATGAGCGCTTCCTAAGCAGCAGCTTAAGCCACTGCACCACAACGGCCACTCAACCCACGACTCGACTCAGAAACACCCACTACCTTGTTTTCTTTAAGCAGAAATCCTTTGGGGGAGGGGGACTTGTTTGCCTCCCGGTTAACACCTGCATTCCGTATCAGAGTCCTTGGGTTCATGTCCTGACCCCGGCTCCTGACTCCAGCTTCTTGCCAACACACAACAGTGATGGCTCAAGTAATTGGGTGTCCGCTGAGTTCTTTCTCAGCTCCCAGTTCAACCCCTGCCTAGCCCCGGCCTCTGTGACCATTTAGGGAGTGAACGAACAAATGGAAGATCTCTCTTTCCTCCAGCCCTCCCTCACCCCGTGTGTGTGTGTGTGTGTGTGTGCGCGTGTGTTTGGTGTCATCATGGCTGTCAGTTAGACCTGGTACAGCTGCTGAGACAGGCATGAGCATTAGGAGGCTCCGAGGTGACACACAGGGACCTTGCTGCACAGATTCACCAAGGGTTGACTTTCTGTCATCTCAGGAAAGGTACTGTTTTTCTGAGTATCCGCTATTGGC